ACCAGTGTTGTTAAGGAAAGTGTATAGACTTTATTATCATAAAAACAAAAAGTTTTTTGAGAACGTCTGTTTTTGGGTTGGCAAAAGAATCAGCGGAAAGACTTTTCAATTTAATAGAAATTAAAATTGATATATATTTAAAATATTATTAATTGATATATATTATTTTATTTATTTTACTAATAATATTAATTTTATTTAATTGTTTTTATATGAAGTTAAATTAGTATTTTATGATTTGATCTGTAGAGTATTAACCATTATATTATAAATTTATAGGTTTTAAAATTTTATTAATATTTAATTAGTAATTTATTTTAAAATATTAATTTAAAATTAAATAAAAAGTTTTTTTAAACAATTATAAATTTTAAATATAAATTCATAGTATATAAATTTTGTTTAATAAATAAATTTTTACTATTTAAAAAAAATTATTATAAAATCAAAAAAAAATTTTAACTTATAAAAAATTATTTTATATTTTATTTTGTAAAATTAATTTTAATATAAAATTTTAAAAAATCTATATAAAATTTTAATTAAATTATCAAATTAAACAAAACTTTTTTAATATCAAAATTATAAAAAAATCAATTTATTATTATAAAATATATTAACAAATTTTAATAATTTTTTATTAAATAAATTTTTCTAATGAATTTAAATTATTTAATTTTTTTTAAAAAAATTTTTTAAATTATTTTTTATGTTTCAAATATATACTATATATATAAATTTTTATAATATTTTATTTATTGGTTATTAAATTATTAGTAAAATTAGAAATATAATTTATTTTAATTTTTTTTGGATCAAATTGTAAATATAGCTTTATTATATTATAAAATATTTACGATATGCTGGTTGGTGGACACCTGATCTGCATGAAAAAAAAGCTTGTAAAGATCGGTGACAATCGCAACTATTAATATAGCTTTGAAATGGCGACCGAGGCTTGTTACACCATTATCCATCAAGATGATAGCTTGGATCAACCTTCCCTGCAAGAGCTCAAGGCGGCATTGGAAAAGGGCTCGGAGGAAGCCAAAATTGATACGATGAAAAAAATTTTAGTCACAATGTTAAATGGCGATCCGCTTCCTCAAATTCTCATGCATGTCATTCGTTTTGTAATGCCTTCTAAGAATAAAGTTTTGAAGAAATTACTTCATTTCTATTGGGAAATTTGTCCCAAAACGAATCCCGATGGAAAGCTAAAGCAAGAAATGATATTGGTGTGGTAATTATAAGTTTTACGTTTCGATCGAGGAATACGGCGAATGGTTCGATTGGGTTTAAAAATCTTTTAATTCTATGAATAGTAACGCCCTGAGGAATGATCTGCAACATCCCAATGAATACATAAGAGGAGCAACGCTTCGCTTCCTTTGCAAGTTACGCGAACCAGAGTTACTGGAGCCATTGTTACCTTCGTGTCGTTCTTGCTTGGTATGAAACGTAACCATTGGGCAGTTAAACAAGATTCAGTATTGCTTTGTACTAAAGGTATCAATTATTTATAAAAATAGGAACATCGGCATTCTTACGTAAGGAAGAATGCGGTATTCGCAATCTACACCATATACAAGCATTTTGAATACCTTATCCCAGATGCACCGGAGTTAATTCAAAGTTTTTTAGTTGCTGTAAGGATCACAGAAAAAACCAAGATTTTGGATTGCGTTCAATTTATTAAGGTTCCTTTTATTTTGTCACTTCTAAGGAAGCCGATCAAACATGCAAACGAAATGCATTTGTTATGCTTTGCAACACTAATCAATCGCGTGCGGTCGAATATCTTAACGATATATTTGATCAAGTTCCCAACTTTGACGAATTATTGCAGTTGGCAGTAATCGAACTGATCAGGAAGGACTGTAGAAATAACAACATAAACAGAGTAATGCATCAATATACCTGGCTAAATTTTCATATGCGAGAAATTATTAATCACAGTTTATACAGGGGAAATATATCCGGTGTATTTTTGATCTGTTAAATGCGTCGTCGTCATCGGTCAAATACGAAGCAGCGACATCACTAATGGCACTTACACATGCGCCCGCAGCCGTCAAAGGTATAAAATAATTGAAATCATCAATTTTTGATGTGGACAGACATGCAAATAGATAAATACGTATATCGAAATTTTTCAGCTGCTGCATCTTGTTTTATCGAGTTAATCATCAAGGAATCTGACAACAACATAAAGTTAATTGTGTTGGATCGATTGGATGAATTGCGTGAAAAACACGAACAAACTATGGATGATTTGGTACTTGACATATTGCGTGTTTTGACCAGGCATGTTAATTTGTTGAGCGCTGGTGTAGAGAGGGTTAATAAAAATATTATGTTGACATCAAAACATGACTCTAAATAGTCCAGACATCGAAGTCAGACGTAAAGCTTTACGTATTGGGTTAGAATTGGTTTCGAGCCGAAATGTTCAAGAAGTGATTGTTTTCTTGAAAAAGGAACTCAGCAAGACTCTCGATCAGGATTACGAAAAGGTAATAAATTTAGATTATTCACTCATATGTAGAAAATTGAAAGAATAAATGAATCATAACCTCCATCACGATTATTCTCGTAGAACATTGAATATCGACAGCTTCTAATCCAATCGATTCATAGCTGTGCAATCAAATTTTCAGAAGTTGCCGCAAATGTGGTTCATGTGCTAATGGAATTTCTCGGAGATAACAATAATCCAGCCGCGGCGGATGTAATAGCATTTGTTCGGTAAGTTGTCTGGTACCAAAAGCTATTCTAAAAACAATTTTATAAATACATCTTATTGTATTTGTTAGTGAAGTAGCCGAGAAATTCCCAAATTTGCGATCATCCATAACCGAAAAATTACTCGAGACATTTATGGATGTCAAATCTGGCAAAGTATTCCGAGGAGCCTTATGGATTGTTGGCGAGTATTGTGCGGAATGTAAAGGTAGATAGAAAGTCTAATACCTATGATTATTATTATTTAAGAAAATATCCATTGCATCCGTGAATTTAAGTAAGTTGCACTCTGTTAAATGATTTTCCTTCAAGATATCGAAGATGCTTGGAAACAAATAAGAGCAGGTCTTGGTGAGATTCCAATATTGGCATCAGAACAGGTGAGTTGAATGAGCCTTTATTATATCATCCTGATATATATTATAATGTGAATCCGGAAAATATTTATTCAGCGCCTTCTTGAAGAAGTCGAAAAGGAAGAAAAACCAGAGGATGCAAACCCAGATACAAAAGTCGCCGGTCCATCTTCATCACGACGTATTCTAGCAGATGGAACTTATGCTACAGAATCCATATATTCGAATTCATCCAATAATGCAAAACTTGATGCATTTAAAGCGGCTGTCAAACCGCCTCTTAGAAGTATTATATTTACGCATATCTTCACTAAATAATTGATGTCCGAAAAATAAATTTTGATTTTTTTTTTTTTTTTAATAGTTTTGTTGTTGGGAGGAGACTTCTTTTTTGGCACCGTACTTGCCTCGACTTTGACGAAGTTAGTGATGCGCTATGCAGAAGTTTCTAATGATCCAAAAAAAACGAACTCCTTTAGAGCTGAGGTATAATATCTTGTTTTCGATTCTCTCTCTAATATCATAATGAAAATTACTAACGCAGATAAATGTTACACCATCTAGGCCATGTTGATAATGGCTAGCATTATCCGAGTAGGACAATCGCAATTTGTTTCTACGCCCATAGACGAAGATTCGTACGATCGAATCATGTCTTGCCTACACGTGCTAGAGCAATTATCAATTGATGCATCAATCAAGAATGTATTTTTACATGATACAAAGAAGGCGTATGCGAAAATCGTTGAGGCGGAAGAGAAACGTAATGCGGTAAAAAAAGCCAAAGATAAATCAACCGTTGCCGTGCAAGTAGATGACCTCATATCCTTCAGGCAGTTTTCAAAACGCAACCTTGGAGATGATGCCGATGAGGTATCTTTCATACTATTATTACTCAAGAATAGTTAAGGTTATGTTATGTATACTAAACCTTTGAATGATTCTCAAACATAGTACGAGTTGGATTTAACTCGCGCCACTGGACAGAGTGATCCTCGTGACGATTTGATTTCAAAGCTTAGTCGCGTTGTCCAATTGACCGGATTTTCTGATCCCGTGTACGCGGAGGCTTATGTTAATGTTCATCAATATGATATTTTATTAGGTATAATTTGTCATTCTTTTATATAAAATAATCTGCGAAAAGCTAATCAACTCATCATCAGCCTTGCTTGATTTTTAGATGTCTTGATCGTCAATCAAACTGGGGAGACGCTTCAAAACCTATCCATAGAGTTTGCAACTTTAGGAGATTTGAAACTTGTTGAGAGACCTACACAACACAATCTTGCACCTCATAGCTTTCATAGTGTTAAAGCCACCATAAAGGTTTGATATATGCCACTTTGGAAACTTTTTTCCACCTATTCTTATCGAATATGTTAACCGATTAGCATTTTGTTTACAGGTTTCGTCTACCGAAACTGGAGTAATTTTTGGTAACATCGTTTACGATGGTCCCGGCACAACAGAGAGCAGCTGCGTAGTTCTTAATGACATTCATATTGACATAATGGATTACATTAACCCTGCGTATTGTAATGAAACACAGGTAGCGTAATCAATTATTAAAGTTAGCATTTTTATTTTTATTTTTTATTTTTCGATTGATCTTCGATTCTTCTTTCAGTTCCGTAGCATGTGGACAGAATTTGAATGGGAGAATAAAGTCAATGTTAACACCAACATAACGTACGCAATTCACGTTTTCTTGACTACTATATTTACATGAATTTGACAGTTAATTTTCATCATATTTCGACTATTAGAGATTTACGAGATTACCTAGCTCATATAATGAAGTCCACTAACATGAGTTGTTTGACTCCCGAGAATGCATTATCAGGAAATTGCGACTTTTTATCTGCCAACATGTACGCCCGTAGCATATTTGGTAAGATCTTAGAACATCCGAAGATCCAATTCGTATGTCGATGCACCTTTCTAATTTACACTTACACGTCTTATTCTGAATTATAGGCGAAGATGCATTGGCTAATATAAGCATTGAAAAACGGACCGACGGTGCTATCACTGGTCACGTTCGAATTAGAAGTAAAACACAAGGGATAGCGCTAAGTCTTGGAGATAAGATCACACTGGGTATGTTTTCAATGAATTTAATTGAAATCTTGATTTTACCAATATCTCAAAAAAATTTTCGTTTTTTTTTCAAAGCACAAAAAGCTGCTGCTTAAGCATTCAACAAAACCAAAGACGGTGTAGATTATCTTATAAAATATTTAGTAATTTAAGACATTGGTCGTGTACTATCTATCTACTTATCGTTATGCAATTCCGGTAGAAGTTTAATTTCATTGCCCTAGTCGTTTAAAAGTGTTACCAAAAATTTATTTAAATGGAGTTTCTTAATAGAATTAATTGGTTGCTTTATCAAAAGTAATTAGGTTAATATTAAATTCGATTTCTAAACAAGAGAAAACCAAGAATCAAATTTGAAATCTTCCATTATTAAAAACTGAGTAAATCTGTACGTCTCTTAACATTATAATAAATAGAAGTTTAAATTTTAATGCCTGCCCGTTACATGTCATTATGTCATTGATTAATAATAAATCCTTTTTTTAGATATAAAAAAATCAATTATTATATTAGAATTACATATCAATTATCTTTAAAAAAAAACAATTACGTATATTATTTATTAATGTTATTAAATATAGGAATTACAGTAGTTAATACACTGATCAATAATACTTGAAATAATTTTCTTAGAATTTACTATCATTTTTTTTTTTATTAATTTATTTTTGTAAGTAAACATCATTTCTTTATTTGGTTTGTATATATCAAAGTATACATCAATGAGTTAAATGCTAGCTTGCTTACAGTAACCATTTGACTAATATTGAAAAGAAAATTTAAAACAATATATCTTGCCAAATGATACCAAACAGCTATGAATACCTACTTAGTATTAAATTTACTATTATTATTATTACTATTTAAAATACAAACTGTAATCAAAAAATTTATATACATTATACTATATAATATATATTTTTATTACTGATATTAATTAATTTTAAAATATATTTCTTGTTTAAAAAAAAATTTTTTTTTGTTATTGTATAATAAAACAGAAATAATATTTTATTTTAAAATTCTAAGAAAATTTCTATAAAAAAAAATTGTATATATTATATAAAAAAATATTATTATTCTAAATCTGTTAAATACAATATAAAAATTGCAATTAATATTAATATAATAAAATAAATCTAAAATTTATAATTTAAATTTATAATTTATAATATTTATAATTGCAATAATAACAAATTATTAAAAAAAAAAATTTTTTTTTGTTTAACTTATATATTAAAAAAAATATAACTTTAAACATATTAAATATTTTTTATTTATTAAAATTGTAACTAATAAAAAATTTTAATTTGATATAAAGTATTGTTATTATATTTGTTAAAACTATAGTCAATAAACAATCTTGATTTAATGTTTTACAATTTTTATTAACTTTAAATATATTTTTATTATATTTTATTATAATTTATTATTTTTATACATATTTTCTATATAATATCTTATTCTTTTCTTAAGAATTCTTAAAACATTTTTAAAAAAAACTCTCTCCTGATCGTATTTGTTTTGTTAAAAATTTTCCTTTTATGGTAATTTTAAGCAATAAAAAATGTTTTACACTCTTTATCACAAGTGAGCTCCAGCTCAAGAATTCAAGAACCTTCAAGACAACTGGTGCAGTGGGATGGGACCTCTGGTCGAAGTCTATTCAAGTTTGGAAGTCTTGCTT